GAGGATGACGGGGGGGGGGGGCGTGGGGGGGCGGGGGGTGGGGTGGGAACTGGGTGGAGGGGAGCTATAAAGAAAGAGGAACAAATGTAATAATCTGAACAATAAAGATTTAATAAAATAAATAAATAAAAATAAAAATAAAAAAATAATAAAGGAACAAACTACTAATACATACAACTACTTGGGTGAACATCAAAATCATTATGCTGGGTGAAAAGCCAGACAAAAAGAGACTATATTCTGTAGGATTAAATACTACAGAATGCCAAATAATTATAGTTATAGAAAGCAGATCAGTAGTTGTCTGGGGAGTGAATGGAGAAAAATTGAATTATCAAGGGACAGAAAGAAACTTTTAGAATTGGGGAAACTCAATCTTGAATATGGTGGTTTCACAGGTGAATACGTTTTACCAAAACTTAACAAAGTGTACACCTAAATATGTGCAATATGTAAATTATACTTCAACTGTTGAGTATTTAAGAGTTTTAAAATCATTGGTCCCATTGAAAACAAACCTGTTCCTAATTCCATTGGATTTTTTATTGAAATTAAATAAATAATCTACACATACATATAGCTATAATATCAAATTGTTTCCTTATTTAGGAAAATGTTAAATTTAGAATCTTGTTTTATATTATACATGAAGACGCTGGTTTCTTTAATTCTTCTTATTTCCTGTTACATGTTTTCTTCAGTACTTTATAGTTTTATTGCAATTGTCAGTATAATTTAAAAAAATCTCACTCCTACTTCTAATTATTATTTTATAGAGAAAAACTACTGATTTCAATACATATCACAATCACTTTATCAAATTCTATAATTCCAGTAGAATTTAAATAGAATCTTGTGAACTTTCTATACAATTTTACAGTCTGCAAACAAAGACAGTCTTGTTTCTTAATTTCTAGTGTTTATACTAATTATTCTACTTTGGGGCCTTTTTTCATTAATTAAAACTTTAAAATGCTGAATGAAGATAGTGCATCTCTGTTTTGTTTCAGATTTAATTAAAATGTTGCAGATTTAATTAAAATGACAGTCATTGATTTAATATGCTGTTGGTTTAGATGAGTGGCTTTTATTAAGTTTGGAAAATTACATTTTAATCCTTCTATTTTATTTGTAAGTATTAGCAAATGTCCTTTAGGCATCTATTGATATAACTGTACAGCTCCTTTAAATTGTTTATATAATGAATTACACTGAGATTTAAGAATGTTGCATTTTTCTTATAAACTTTACTTCTAGGTATATCAATCTTTTAATGTTTTGACACTCTCAATTTGCACAGATTTATACAGCTATAATAGAACTATATCATACTTTTTAATGGCTATATAATATTATATAGAATAGCTCTACTAATTCAACCCTGATGACTAATTCCTATTTAGGTTGCCTTTTTATACTCAGTGTTATGATAAACACAATTGTAGAATAGTATACCTCTAAAATAATTTCTAATTTCACCTTTACTTGCTTTGCTTCCTCCTTTGGTGGGAAAGACAAAGTTCATATACTCAAAATTTTTTGATTTTCTGATATTCAGGTATACCTTCTTATATAGAAAGGCAGCTTTCTCTCCACCCCCCGCTCCCTGCACTTATCTAAAAACATTCTGAGTTGGCTTTCCATTGTTTTTGAAAACGCTATCTCTGCATCTTTCCAAATCTTATCCTTTCCTCCATGCTCCTATTTTGTGTGAATCCCAGGGGTATGGCAGATTTTTACCTTTCCCTGACTCATTAATGATTCTGACTCCAATTCTGAAGTGTGGGTTCCCTGCCTACACCGAGCAATTCTTAGACACCACCTGGGTGCCCTACAAGTCAACTCAATTCTGACACTATCTACTCAGAGATAACATCAGATTCCTTAGGTTACGGATTCAGTCGCAAGCGACTGCACTCCCCCACATCCCAATTCAGACACCAAGCACAAATCCAGGTTGTCACCTGTGCTTCTTTTTGATGGATCAGCTGCAGTGGTTCTCAACCTGTGGGTCGCGACCCCTTTGGGGGTCGAACGACCCTTTCACAGGGGTCGCCTAAGACCATCCTGCATATCAGATATTTACATTATAATTCATAACAGAAGCAAAATTACAGTTATGAAGTAGAAACAAAAATAATTTTATGGTTGGGGGTCGCAACATGAGGAACTGTATTTAAAGGACCAGAAGGTTGAGAACCACTGGATTAGAGGTTCCAAAGACCCCCTCCTTGGATTCAATTAATTTGCTAGTGCAGCTCACTCAGAGAAACATTTTACTTACTAAATCACCCTTTTATTATAAGAGGATGTAACTCAGGAACAGTCAGGTAGAAGAGATGCATAGGGTAAGGTGTGTAGAAAGTACAAGAAGCTTCCATGCTCCCTGTTGTACCACTCTCCCAGGTCCTCCACGAGTTCACTGACCTGGAAGCACTCCTAACCTCGTCCTTTTGGGGTTTTTATGGAGGCTCCATTACACAGATAGGATCCATTCAATCACTGACCATTGGAGACTGACCTCAATCTCCAGCCCCTCTCCCCTCCCCTGAGGTCTGGAGGAGGCACTAAAAGTTCCAACTTTCTAACCTGTAGTTGGTTCCCTGGTAACTAGTCCCCACCCCTGCACTACATGGAGGGAGAGGGGGTGGGCTTTCCGAAAAGTCACCTCATTAACAGAACAAAAGACACCTTTATTACTCTCACCTTAGGAAATCCCGAGGGTTTTTCCGAGCTGTGTGCCAGGAACAGGGGACAAGACCAAATACATATTTATTATAACTTACAATATCACACGCATCCTTTTAGCTTTCACAGTACTAGATGTGTTAGGATCTAAAAAATTTATGACCGCTATTCTTTATATCCACTCCATGGTGTAGGTATTCTCAAGTTTGTGCAAAAGACTTGCTTGGGAAACTGGGTACAAAAAGTTTATCCCTGGGTCATATCTTATCACTGTGAAGCAGAATTTGAGGGTGGGCCCCCCACAATGAGCATTTAAAAACCCCAAAAAACTTAAAGCCACTATAGTTCTGAATCAGTTCCCCTCTCTTGTTGGGACTGTGCTTATCCTCATCAAATCTTCTGGGAGAACCTTGGGAATCCCCGCCCCTCAAGCCCAGCCCTACCTGCAGGGATCCAGGTTGGGGCCAGTAGTGAGGGAAAGTTCCTGCCCTTGTAGTTTTCTTGCAGGGGCTCCAATTGTGGCCATGGCAAAGGGCCCTGGGCTCCTGCCAAAGAAACATGGGTAGAGTTATATGGGTAAGGTGGTCTTCCCGCCTGGTTTTTATTTTTACTGGGCAGCATACAATAAAAAGGGAAAGAACTTTTAAAAGAGTAAAATCACCACAATGTCAACATCTGAACAACATCCACTTCATTTTTCTGTTTTCTCTCAGTCCTTGTTGGAATATTTGGGGGCATTAGTATCTCATTTCCATTAAAGACCAAATAGACTTTCTTGAATGGGCTTAGGAACCTAGCTCTCCTCCTCTTTGTTAAGTCCACAAGAAAATACAAGTTCTAAACAGATTTTTATAGGCCTTGAATCTAAGACGTGGGTTTGAACTGGAGTCCGTCATTTACCATACTAGCTGGGTAAGTTTTCAAATATCTTTGGGCTTCTGTTTACCTCTAAAGCAAGGATAACATTTAAGAAATGCCTGATGTTATATCCGATAAGGGTTTAATCTCCAAAATTTATAGGGAACTCATACAACTTAACAAAAGGAAGATAAACAACCCAATCAAAAAATGGGCCAAGGAACTAAATAGACACTTTTTCTAAAGAGGACATACAGAAGGCCGAGACATATGAAAACATGCTCAAAGTCACTAATTATCTGAGAGATGCAAATCAAAACGACAATGAGGTACCATCTCCCACCTGTCAGAATGGCTATCATCAACAAATCAACAAAGGACAAGTGCTGGCGAGGATGCGGAGAAAAAGGAACCGTCATGCATTGCTGGTGGGAATGCAAACTGGTACAGCCACTGTGGAGAACAGAATGGAGTTTCCTCAAAAAACTAAAAATGGAACTCCCATTTGACCCAGTGATCCTAATAAATCAGAAACACCAAACGGAAAGGATATATGCACCCCTATGTTCATAGCAGCACAATTTACAATAGTAAAATTTGGAAACAGCCTAATGCCCATCAGCAGATGAGTGGATTAAAAAACTGTGGTACATCTACACAATGAATACTACGCTGCTGTAAAAAAAGAAAATCTTACCATTTGCAACAGCATCGATGGACCTGGAGAGCATCATGCTAAGTGAAATAAGCCAGTTGGATAAAGATAAATATCACATGATTTCATTCATTTGCGGAATATAATGAACAGCATAAACTGATGAACAAAAATAGATCCAGAGACATAGAAACATCAAACAGACCATCCAATCTCAGAGGGAAATCAGGGTAGGGAGGGTAAGAGAGCAACCAAAGGACTTGTATGCATGTATATAAGCATAAGCCATGGACACAGACACTAGGGGGTTGAGGGCATGTGCTAGGGGATGGGAACGGTCAGAGAGAGGTCAATGGGGAGAAAAGAAGATATATGTAATACTTTAATTTAATCTATATATATAAAAGGCTAAGAGACCATCCAGCCGGTAGCTACAACACACAATTACCACTGGGGGCAGATGCTCCAACCGGTAGCTATGATGTGCACTGACCACCAGGGGGCGACACTCAACACAGAAGCTACCAAGCTGCAGTGACTTGGCAGTGGCAGTTCTCAGAACCAGAGAGGAGGGAGCCAGATTCTGGGGTGGTTCACCCGAGAACCACCCTCTCGAAATCTGGGGCCCCTTGGGGGATGTCAGAGAGCCGGTTTCGGCCAGATCTCCGCAGGCCAGGCCGAAGGGCCCCACCTACTAAAGGACCCTGCTCACTCCGCAGATGCCCTTAGAGCCCTGGCACCGCCCCAGGTGCAGCTGGCAGGGGAAGGACTGCGGAGGTTAGCTCCAGGGCGTGTCCGGCCCATCTTGCCCAGTCCTGCCCTGCCAGCCACCTTCTAATTAATTTTCTTTCAATGTGCATGAATCCGTGTACTGGGGCACTAGTAAAGAAAAAAAAAATGCCTGAAACAGTATACTCTTAGTAAATGTTAATTCCATTGTTTATAATAGTATTTCTAAGTTTATTAAACTTTTTTCCTCGTATGGCTTTTTCTCTCATAATGGGTTGTTCTACCAAAGTTTCTTTCTTCCTTTCTTTTTTGCTTAATCCCTTGACCTCTTTCACCCAGCCCCCCCTCCAACTCCCCTCCCATCTGACAACTGTCAGTTCGTTCTCTGTAACTTTCATTCATTTAATTTCGATACAACTGAAAGCTGTTTTCTAAGGTCAATTATCTAAGGTTATTGAATACCTAAATCACTTCAAGTCTACTTCCCAACTAGTGTTCCAACTAAAGTGCTCCAAATTCACATTTTGAAGTTTTATTTTTCCAAGCTGCATCAGTTATAAACTCAGCAAAATCTTAAGTACTGTACACCATATTGGTCAGATTTTGATACTAATGAAATGGAAATTACCTCACATTCTTATGAGGCCAGCTTTTCCTAATCCTCCTTTTATTATGAAAAAGTGTGGACAGATGATTCAGAGGAGACAGTGGCTACCTTTTATCCCACCTCTAAGTTAGGCACATGGCTATATTATACAGACATTTCCTTGCATCCCTGAGGCAGGATGGCCATGGGACATGCCATGGTAAATGGATGTGAACCTATGCTCTTCTTGACATCATAGATTAACAGTGACCAGAGTCCACTTCCATAAGATTCTGCTTAAAACAGATGATGGAAAGACAGACTCGGGCACAAGTTTTGACTGTAAGGAGCCTATTTTCCCACCTGTGAAATGGGAATATCATTTGACTACCATGTGACTAAAATGGATATGTAACTTGGCATTAGCCATAGCAGTTTGGCTTATTGTGGGTGTTCAATGAAAATTTGTTACAGGCATGTTAATGAATGAATGGATTTACTAAAATAAAGGTGGACACATGCACCCACACATGTTGGTTGGGGGGGGTCTAGTAGGTTGGTAAAGGAATAAAATACTTAATGTGATTTAGATAAATTACAAAAAATCAGTTTTCTAATCAGAAGAATCACTTAGCAGTACATGCCATTCTGTACTTCATTCAAAGAATTCACTGAGATTGTGAAGAAATCAATAAACTATTCCTAAAAAACAAATGAAGAAATTTGGAGAAAAAATCACATTCAATACCCTAGAACAGCGGTCGCTAACCTTTCAGACCTCACGGACTACCAGTGGTCCGCGGACTACCAGTTGGCAACCGCTGCTCGAAAGGTTTCCTTAAGTCAGCGGTCGCCAACGTTTCGGACCTCATGGACCACCAGTGGTCTGCAGATCACCAGTTGGTGACCACTGCCCTAGAATACTTCAGCAAAAATAGTCAAACATTTGTAACAACACTTACACAAATATCTTCAATATGCCGCTTTAAGGTAAATTTTTAAACATTATTTATTTAAATTAAAATTTTCTCAATTACAGTTTATACTCAATATTATTTTATATTAGTTTTAGGTGTACAGCATAGTGGTTAGACAATCATATGCTTTACAAAGTGCTCCCCTAACATTTCCAGTACCAAACTGGCACCATACATAGCTATTACAATATTATTGGCTATATTTTCTATGCTGCACTTTACATCCCCATGACTATTTTGTAGCTAACAATCTGTACTTCTCATTCTCTTCACCTTTTACCACTCCTCAAATTCCCCTCTCCTCTGGCAACCATTAATCTGTTCCCTGTATCTATGAGTCTGTTTCTATTTTGTTTACATCGCTCTTTAGATTCCACATATAAGTGAAATCATATGGTATTTGTCTTTCTCTGACTTATTTCACTTAGCATAATATATCTAGGTGCATTATGCTGTCCCAAATGGTAAAATTTTATTTGTCTGTTTAATTATCATTTGAGGATGTTTTCGCTGATAAGAGAG